CGGGAGCAGCCTGAGAGGTTCTGCCAGCTCTGCTGCCATGGTGCTGCCCCACAGCCATGCATGGGACAGCTTAGGATCCAGCACCTCAAAGGGAGAGAGGTGTCCTGGGGTCAGCTCGGTGTCCCCACGCAGTGAGGGGGCTGGGGACCAGGGAGGGAGCAAGGTCCTGCCGTGGCCCCTGGCGTGGGTGCTGCTCCCTGCCCCCTTCCATGTCCAGGTGCTCTATCTGTCCCAACCCGTGACTGCTTTTCCCACCAGATTTTCACACTTTGGGATGCAAATGAGCCCTTCCTTGGTGCAAAGAATCTGAGGGAACTGGTTCTCCAGTCTATGACTGCTGAGGGGACATAATGTGGCCCCCAGGCCCAGTGGGATGATCAGCACAGGATGATGGTGACTGGAGAGCACCCACATGGAACTGGGACCCTCTCCCTGCCCTGGGGCAGTGCTGCCTGCAGGGATGGCTGCTGGGTGCCTGCCTCCTCCCTGCCTGCATGCAGCCCTGGCTGCCAGTGCCTCTGGGAACCCGAGCAGAGCACAGGGATGGTGATCCAGAGCAGAGAAGGCTGTGGAATGGTTTATTCTGTCTCAGTGCTGTGAAGTGGCTGAGGCTGATGGGGATGCAGGGGTTTTGCCTTGTTCTGGGCTGCTCGGAGCCTTGGCCATGGGGTGATGCAGGCAGAGTGCAGTCCTCACCAGCATGGCTGGCAGCAGCTGGGGGTGCCAGGGATCCTGACCAAGATCACCAGAGTCTTTGCTGGCAGTGCAGAGGGTTCAGCTCAGGGACAGGCATGGGTGGCAGCAGAGCCTCTGCTCACTGCAGAGGTTCAATAACAGCAGGGGAGAGGGTTACCCCAAAATAACAGCTCCCGGTGCAGCTCTTCCTGGCCAGGGCTAGGCTGTGCCTGGAGGAGACAGGTGAGATGGTCAGTGAAGATGGGTGCTCCCTCCCCGAGGGATGGGGGCCCCAGGGTTCTCCCACCCTGGGGACCCCTGGTTCCCTCCAGACTGGACCCAGGAGGTGGCAGGCTGGGTGGGGGCCGTACCCCACAGTGGGGGGACACAGAGTCGGCTGCAGCCCTGCAGGCAGCACTTCTGGCCGTGGGGACAATCCCTGTCCTGCAGGCACAGGAGGAGGCACTTGGCTGCCTGATCACCATCCGCGGCTGGGGGGCAGATCCCTGGCCACACTGGCACATGTAGAGAGAGGGAGAGATGAGGGGCTCAGGGCACCCCTGTGGAGTGGGGGAGGTGCCCTGCCTGCAGGGGTGAGGTCCTTACCCAGCTCCTGCCCCATGGGACAGCAGCTCAGTCCCCACCCTCACACTGCCCCCGGGAAGGTCACGGTGACAGGGTGGGGAGGGGACATGGGGGTGTTGGCCCCACAGGGCGTCAATGGTTTACCCTTGATGGGTTGCTTGCAGACGTGGCCACAGCCGGTGGTGCAGCACTTGTCATCGCCAGGGCAGTCACTGTCGGTGTCACACAGCTCCAGGCAGGGCCCCAGGGAGCCCCGCAGCACCATGGGGCATGTGCCAGGCTTTGCTGTGGCATGAGGGCTCCCTGGTGACAGCGGGGATCATGGTTCTGTCAGGATTCTCTGTCCCCCAGCACTGCTCCTGGCACAGCCTTGGTCTCCATCCTGTCCCCATCTTGCCCCCCAGTTCTCCTTCCCAGAGCCCAGTGCTGCCCTCAGCTGCCAGCCTCACACCCACACCCATCTGGACTGGTCACAGCTCAACGCGGCATGCCAGCTGATAGCTGAAGGGGTGAGGGACAGCCCTGGCTGTGGTCCTTCCAGCACCCAGCTCAAGCAGGGTGCAGGAGGGGGCTCAGCCCTGCACCTGCTTGGGGCCATTGCCCACCCATCACAGAGGACCTGGGCACAGGACCTTCCCACAGCACCCCAAGGGCAGCTCTTGCCCAGGGGGTCACAGGGACTGAGGCTGTGCCTGAGGTGGGTGTGTGACACTGAGCCACAGCCAGCGGCACATGCTTCCCAGGGCCTGGACGGATGCCACCAGCTGCACACTCGGATGGGCACAGCCGCTGTGGCTTGTCCAGTGGTACAGCCAGGCACATGCCAGGCT